ATATATATATATATATATATATATATATATATATATATATATGTGTATAGAATGTAACGAATTAACTAAAATGTAACAATTCTTTCTAACAAAACCTACTAAATCATCCGGTATTACTTAGCAACTTAGATAATTATAACATGACATAAGATTCAACACTAAAATCTATGTTTTTGTAGAGAAACAGATAATATGTATTTAGAAAAATAATACATGGTGTTATATAAAACTATGACTTAGCATTTGAGATTCATCAAAAACCTGTAACTGTCTTCCATACAAGAACTGCTATGTTACCACTAATAAACATGTATAATAGTGATTTTTCTTGATATGTAATTGAGCAAGCAAAAGCTTCACCAACCACTACTTGAAAGGGAGGTCCAAATTTCTTATCCAGATTATCTTTGATCATGCGAGCTGCGTGTTCATAGTTTTCTGAATATTTTTCTACAGCAGTAACACATGTCTCTATGACTTCTTGTTTCATTTCTTCTGGCATGTCACTATGCTGGAGAAAGTCTCTGTTATCATTAAAATTTAAACATTTTAAGAATATAATCACATATACAAGTTAATTTACTTTACACAATGGATATGTATGAACTATCAAAGCTGCGATATCTTTTTTTACTTCTCCTGCCCACATATTTTATAAAAATGTCTTAATCTTGTATATTATTTAATAAAATTAAATGTATTATGTTTACGTTTCTAGTACTCGATGAATCTCAATATTTTTAGTATAATTGGTTATAATAAATTTTCAATTAAACAAATGAGTGTGCGATACAATTTACAGTTCTCAAGATGTAAGAATATGAACATGTGTAATAGCAAGATTCTCTGATATTGATCATTGCTCACCTTGATAATTACTACATGAGAAAGCTAAAATAGGGGAAATAATTGTTAAATTGAAAACAATATATGTATGTAATGTTACAATTAATAATCTTGAGATATATAAAAACACCGTATGTTTGTAGGCTTTATGTTTTATTTTGGTTTATTATGAAAGATTTCGTTATAGAGTGCGCTAGTAATGCAATTTTTTGTACATATTGGCCTGTTCTTTCTAGCAGCACCAGTTCAGCAATGCAGCTAAAAAGAACAGGCCATATGTTCCTTTCAGCGACATCTAAGATCTATTCTCTTCAGTTACAGTATACCTTTCGCACTCTCCTCTTTTGACATCATGCTATATGCGGTAAATAAGAAAGAGAGAAAGAGATGAATGCTGCTAATTGAATGTGATGTCACACGCCTTTTCATTCCTGTATCGTGTCTTTCTCATACTTCTCGCACTTTTAGATACATGAGACGCTGAAGCTTCTATATATGGTCAAGTAGTTCTTGGAACGTGAATACGGACGTGAATTATAAAAATAACCGAACCGGGTGTCATCGAGTTGGAAAACTAATTTCCTGTTTGAGCGTGAAGTATTTTATAACTTTAATAATACATTAATTATGACAATATTTTTCGCAATTATATTTGATTCATTGATCTATTGATTCATTGATTTATCTAACAGTATTAACTTCTAAATTTGCTTATTTCTCTTATATTGTTAGAATGGCGACAAATGTGTAAGACATTTATAAATGTTTCTCTAATTGACAGGAATGGAAACTGTACTTCAACAGAAAGTAATAGAGGTTGCCAATCACGTCGAGCAACAATTGGATGCAGAGTTGGAGAAATTAGATAATTTGGATATCAATGATTACGAAAAAATACGTGCAAGCCGATTAAATGAACTCAAACGGATGCAAAAACAAAAACAGGACTGGCTTGTTTCGGTAATATGTTATGACATATCTGGCATTAAGATTAAGTTAGGTTTTTAATATTGTGTTAAAATAAATTATATATGGATATATGTGGACATAAAATAATACATGTTATAACAATATGTTATTACAGGGTCATGGAGAATATTCTGAGATTTATGATGAAAAAGAGTTCTTTGAAATATCCAAGAAGTCAGAAAATATAGTTTGCTTATTTTATAAAGATGATTCTCAACGATGTAAAATAGTGGACCATCATTTTAAGACCCTTGCAAAAAAACACATTGAAGCAAGATTCTGCAAATTAAATGTTGAAAGATGTCCCTTTTTGACTGGTATATATTTAAAATATTGTGACAACCTACATACTAATACGGTATGACTATAATGTTTGAACATTGCAGAACGTCTAAGGATCAGAATTATACCTACAATCGCGCTAATTGTGAATGGTAAAACTAAGGACTACATTGTTGGATTTACTGAATTAGGAAACTGTGACGACTTTTCTACAGAAACTCTACAATGTCGTCTTGCACAATCTGGTGTGATAAACTATGATGATGATGTGCAATTGTCCGAAACTGGCAAGAAATCATTCATATTTAGACCTCAGAAATCTAAAACTATTAAAGGACGCAGTTCAGATGATTCTGATGATGATTGAAACTATATCAAATACAAAAATTATATATATTTATTCACATTTTTCTGCTTCACATGTATTAAATTTAATCATTATACTGTCATTTTGTTAACAGGAAGTTGAATTTTTCTAATAAAATTGATGAAGTTTATATTTGAACATAATATTAGTGTATCACATTTTTTATAATTTGATAAATATTGCCTCTTAATATCATCTTTCTCTCTCTTTCATAATATCACTATGTCTTAAGGCATTCTTGTATACCATGTATTATAGTGACAAATTTATCAAATTGAAATATTACTATAATGTGTAATTTACATGTGATTTTATTAAAATACAAGTTTGCTATATTACAAATTATATCATTTTTACATTTTTCATAACTCTTGATATGTTATAGTATGTATTTTATTATGTAGCTCATGTTCATAACTAGTTACATTTGGGATTTGTAAAAATTCGTCGGATCGCCGATGATTTCATTGGCTTAAAAAACGAAATATTTTACAGATATAAAGAATTAGATAGTTATATACATCTTATAGTCATGTCACATATAAAAAGAAGATAATTATGTAATAGATAGCAGAAAGTGATAGATAGCAAATACTTTGAATATGGCACATACGTATTGTTCCGTTATTATTAATAAAACAAATATAACTAAAAATCCGACAAATCTTTGTAAGTCCCTAATTATGTGCAGGATAGAGAAGGAGAGAAAGAGCGAGAGATAAATAGATAGATAGACAGAGAGAGAGAGAGAGAGAGAGAAAAAGAGAGAGAGAAAGAGAGAAATAAAGAAAGAAAAAGAATGTTATATCTTTAATGAGTTTGTAAGTTTGAAATGTTACAAAATGATATAACATAAACATTTAATTTACATTCACAAGCGATGTCATGTCAGAAAAATATAAGATTCTCGGATATAACAGATTATAAAGATAAATTCATGAAACTAATGAACAAAAAAAGCAACTTCATCGTTTCATAAACTATAATATACTGCAAAATATATAATAGATTCCTGTGCAAATTGTCCAGAATATCACAGTAGTAGTGAGAAGAATTGCATATATTAATCGAGCTTTTTTAATTTGAATTCCAAGGTGTATATATCCAAGATATGTGATCTTGTATTACATAAAAAATATGTATGTACTATCACGATAAAAAAAAGACAACTAGCATAATATACGTATTTTTATCATTTTCCTGTCAAGTAAAATTATATTACTTAAAGACGATATAACTGCGTATATAATTACAATTATCGTTTTTAAATTACATTCGAACCATCGTGTATATCTAACACAGTGAAAATATATAATTTATCCTTATATTGCGAGAAGATATGAACTCAATCAAATATTTTGAACTTTTGACATTATTAAATTCTATGGGATCGCTATACCAATGTGTTAGATAGTACACACATACAATGGGTTTATTTGTAATGGATGTAATAAAAATATAATATTAAAGATTGTTAATCAACGATATCACGAGCATGGCTTGAAAAAACAAATAACTTGCTTATATGTATTTCACAATATTGGACTTGCAAAATATAATGCGACGACTCGGTATGTATTTACAATCCTAGGAAACTTGTATTTTTTTTAGTGAGCATACGCAAGTACTACATCAAATTAGATATTCTAGCTACACGTGTGGAGTCGAATCAGCTAGTATTCATAAGATAATGATAAATTTATTAACAAAAATATTTGTTTTACAACTAATTAATACAGATCCTCTGAACGAATAGAACGATGTTCTACGATGTTCTGAAAAGTTGGAACCTAACTTTGATTTTATCTTACCTAAACTATAAGAATATCGATATATGATCGTGATTTCGAGGATTAATTAATTGCCAGTGTGACATTCACATTATTCACATTGTTTTTTTAACAACCTATATATTAGCTTGTTTTTGTCACTGAAACACATAATTTGACCAGGTCGTTGAAATGTATCAGTTTAAATCACTATATATGTATCTTCATATTCGAGAAAATCACATCAGTATATGCCGTCTACCTTTAATTCGGTTTACCAAGTTGCAGATTTTAAGCGCTGGCCCGAGTTTTAGTCCCATATATTTCATCATCATGTCACTATTGAGGAGAAGTAGAGCTTTACCGTCGATTTCCTAAAAATTATGTTACGTTAGTTTTATCGTAAATCATTTAACCTGTTTGTCCTTATGCTACATTTGTATCGATGTAAATAATAAAAAAAAATTATAATCCAGTAATATAGGTCGTGTCGGAGTGAACGTGACAAATAAATAAGTTCACAATTAACTCACATGTTTTCTAAACAAATCTGCATGTTGTCCTAATGCTGGATCCGTAATGGCAATATAATGTATTACATCTTCAATAGTCCATTCTGCTGGCTCATTAGAAGGAGTGCGAGTTGTAGAAGTTTCAGATTGAGTAGTGGACGTTGCTGCTTCAAGTTCTAAATGTAAATATATTTTTGTTGTAACTTTTTGTCGTAAACTGATATTGCTACTAAGAATGCTATTTAATTAAAATGTTAATTGACTGACATCTCAATGTCAATTAAGTTAAGTTCTTAAATTAGCTAATAATTAATATAAAACCATCTTATGTGCTGTATCATACAATTAAAAATAAAATTAAAAAAAATCATTATCCACATATATTCTTCAATGATACTAATAAACATCTTTTTACAATTTATCGTTATATATTATTACGTAATATATCATATTTAAGATTTAAATAAGAATATAAGATCTTATAGGAAATATAAAATGCTTACCAGGAACGGATTTACGCGGCTGCTTTGCAGTTGTAGAGGTTGACGATGTAGAGTTATTTGTACTTTGCACATTAAATTGTTGTAAATGCTGCTGTGGTGTAGTAGATGTTAAATTTTGTTGACTCGGTGGCGGCGACCACCTTCTTTTTTCTCCTACTGTGTTATTTGTTTCTTCGTTGTTAGTAGATTGTGGTTGTTGAGTATTAGTGCATTTGTTGCAAGCTTCTTTCCTTCTGACTAAGAAATGCTCACACGCACAGAGGTCCTCGAGTTGCCGCCTAACGTACACATAAAAGTCTTCCTCTTCCACAAAAACCGGCAATCTAATAGAGTTTGGCTTACTTTCCAGAATCAAATGTATGGTTTCGCCTTCACCACGTCTTATTAAACTCAACATTTGTTTGGTACTCATGGCTGCCATTAAAAATGCTTGGAAAAGGTCTCTGGCAACACTTGGTATAGAACTGGGACCAAAATATGCCGGCATGGCTTTCACTTTTCGAGGATCAAAGTAGGGCCCACAAGCACAATTATGATTGACATAAATAGTAACTGCAATATAAAATTATATTATGTTATTTAGAGCATTTTCTTGTACAGATCACACATATTATTTTATATCTAACCATTTTCAACTGTGTGCAGTTTGATATTGGCTGTACTAGTATCAGGTTCTGTAGCTGGTTGTAGTGGTGCACTGGAACCTGCAGGACTCACTAATGCAACTGCTGGTTCTCTACTAGTATTGCTACCAGACACTGCCATTACTAGTAACACATTACTGCTTTTGGTCTTAAATCTATTGGGGCCTGTTGCTGTACAAATAAAAATTTTAAATGTCATTGATTACTGTCAGGAAAACATAGATTATAAATGGTTAATTTCTTTAGACACTGACACATATGTGTACATTTGGTTGTTTCTTTTCTAATTCTTTCTTTAGAAACTATCGATAAAAATTAACAAGCATTATTCAGAATGCGCGCGTGCATGCATAGTCAGTGGTAAAACGGTTTCAACATTTTCAACAAGTTTCACAACAATAAGAGAACTTGCTTTTCAGTAATTTTCAGGAGAGAAATTATTCTATCGATGCTGAATGAGTTATAAAATTCACAAAGATAAATATCTACCTATATTGTAATGGCTTTTTGCCATTGGGGTTGTACTAGTCAATTTGCAACGTGTGCGGTTATTTTGATAATTATAAGATATTCATTCTTACATTTCTGTCTTGGTGGCTGCAATGGATGTCCGCTTTTAAAGCACCATCCTGCAGGAAAAATATCTCGTGAATCGTAACGGCACCAATAATCAAAAGCACCGCGCCAACCATCAAATGTAATATGTATCATTTCATCCTTGATGGCACCGATTGTTGCAGTACATATAAGTTGAGGATTTTTCTTATCTATTGCTTCTAGCTTATATCCGATTTGGAACAAATTGGAACGTGGTGTCTTTGGTTCGCGTTTAAAAACTTTCCCTGGCGCCATTTCGGCACCATTTAATGTTTTCAAGAGGAACATTGGCCAACTTGAAGCATTCATCCGAAAGCCTAATGGCGGTTGAAGCATCCCACCAGATTTCTCGCAGTGTCCGATCGGATGTATCTCATTACTGTCGACCAACCGCCAGAAGTCATTCTTATTATCCGATCCATCTAATCTTAATCTCAGCCGAGGTCCGAGAACGCCTACTACAGTGGCAATGCAAGTTGACGTTACATTTCGCGGATCTAATGCTTCCAGTTTCATATTAATTTTAAATTCATTTGTCGGTGGAACTTCATGCTGAAAGAAGGACGTTCAATGGAAAGTATCTCACAATGAATATTGATTCAAAATATAATTTTGTGTAAGATAGGTACACTATTAGAATAAATAAGAAAAATATGCCCTATCCTCATATTATATTTTATATCGGACAAGTTGAACTCAAGATAAAAAAATCAGTTTGTTCATAGATCAGGTCACATCATACCTGCTTAAAGCATTCAATTGGCGCCGCTTTGCTGTTCGTCTCTTTTAAGTAATTATCCCAATCGAAAGTTTGAAAGGTCTCATATTGAAATGGTCCATTGGATGTCGATGGTGAATTAGATACGGTTGTATGATTATTTGTACTGCTGGTATAAGACTGTGTAGTTGATGGTACATTATTACTGGTTGATAATCCAGATGGGGCAGGAGACGGTACAGGTGATGATAGATCCCTATTATCTGTTATGTACAAATTTAATATATCATGTATATATTATTAATTTGAGAAATAAATGTTTGTTTTCATAGACTTATAAAACTTCAGTTACTTACTTTTCTTCGTATCTGTTTGATTGTCTTTCTTCTGATAAGCATTTAAACAGCTCGAAGAACAGAAATCCTTTTTTAAACCATCTTTCTGTTCCAATTTAACTGGTGTATTTTTTATTAAACTTTCACATTGTGTACATGCACCTCGTGCATAACTCTTACGAGATTCAGATAAACATGTTTCTGAGCAGAATTCCTTTTTGCCATTCTGTGTAGGGAGAATATATTTCAATGGTTGTTTAGTTTCACCACACCATGTACAGCTATTCTTTGACTTTGGCGGTCTTCCTGGACCTAATACAGAGATATTCTTTTAACAACTTTTCTACAAGTTCTTTTCATTTATTATCATTTATAATTTAAACGCAGCTAAATATGTAAAGGCTAGATAAGTCAAAATATAAAAATCATATTCAATCAATGCATCATCTTAAAAGGTTATTTCCGTTGTTTTCACGTACCTCGTATTTTGGTCGGTGCGGACGACATATTTCGTCATACAAACAAAAATCAGCACTGAAATCACTGTAATAGTTAATTAGCACGATGAATACATGATTAGAGTAATTTATCGAAATGAGTTTCGAAGCCAAAATCCGTCGAACGACCGAGGTCGCTGTGAATCAAATTCTGTGAAGATAAATTAATCCCGATACTAATATTCGCACACAGTGTAAAATTCGTTCTAAGATCCCGTTATTCACTGCAATTTGCTTTATTACAGTGGTAATTGTACTCTGGTAACAACTGTAATATATCTATGTATGTATCACGCATTAAAAATTATTGTGTTAGTCCGCCATATTGCTTCAATTTGGCCGCGCAATCTGCAAACAAGAGTCGTGAGTGGAGTTAAGCAACGGCCGGTTTCGTGTAATTGCCTGCACCAGCATTATATGCACGGTGTCGTACACTTTGTTGACAATTAATATTTAATATATAAAAATACAACACCGACAGGTAACTGTTACCTCGTGTCATGTCATTAAGTAAAAAATGACATTTTACTTTCATGTATTGTGATTTTTATATGTTCAGATACGACATAATTGCCGGAGTCCATTTCACACTACAAACGCTTTGAAACGCCATATAGACCAATCACGTTCTTTCTTTAAGCTCTCCGAAGCGCGTGCAGCGTGAAGTGGACCCTAGCTCGGTCTCTTTTGGTTTCTCTTTCAAGACGCGTTCCATTCGGCGCGGCAAATGTTTTGAAGTGCTGAAAGAAAAATCATAATTATGACTCAGTTTCATCAACGCGACTGAATCAAATCGATCGATCAAATTCACTTTGTCTATTTGAATTCACCAATCGCATCTATCTAACAACGATGCAATTCGATAGCTAGTTAAACCGAGCCTATCCATACTGTCTATACGACTTATACGGCACTTGCAGCGTATAATAGATCGCACCTGTTTATTTTTTGCATTTCAAAAGATACGGATATATATTCAAGTTTGAGATTCAATAAAAATCGGAAGTAATAAACATAGAAATATGAATTGAATTTAATAGCGGTTTCGATTTGTTGACTCGACCCGACTCGAATAGCGTGCCACTAATCCCTACAGTATTGCAAATTATAATATACGTAACTTTAACTATAGACTGTAGTACTATAAAGATTATTGGAACGCTGTCCGAGTCGGGTCAAATCAGCAAATCAAAAACATCATATGTATGAAGGCCTTTAGAGCCCGTATCAGACTTCGAATTGAAAATTGAGATTGAATTGAAATTTGACCAATCAGAGCAAAGTTCACTAAATTTCACTAAACTTGAATTCAGTTAATTTTGTATTAATTGGCAAAATTCAATCTCTATCTCAATCCCCAATCCGTAGACTGATACAGGCTTTACATATGTCGTATGACGAATTGTTGGATGTGCCAATTAGCTGTTGGATAAAGAATTCTAGAGTGTCTAGAAAAATGTTAGGGACCCTGGAAATTTTCTATCCGACAGCCAATCTTATGGCTTCTGCCCACAGGACACGAAATGCTTGCTGCGCGGCAAGAAGTGACGCGGCAGCCAATTAAACTTTCAATTCTTGTGGAGAAACGGTACGTTGATTGGCTATCGCGTCGCTTCTTGTCGCGTGGCAAGTGTTGTGTCAGCTTGCGATCGACTTGCTTACTAATGATTTTTCTACAATAACCAATATGTCGCTAATGAATAAGGATAGAATTTATTTTTTGAGAACGAATTCAGGCGTGTTCTACAATATATCGTATGTCGCTGTCGAATGCCAGAACATAGTCGATAGTCCAATTAGGAGAACTCATTTCGAAAAATAAATTCTCTTATTGAATCGTCGGCTGTGCCTCGAAATCTGATTTTGATACACAGCATATTGTAGAACAGGCCTGAGGCTTATTTAGGGCTGATGCATTTGAATTTGCAAACGTTTCGAAGCGCTTAGAGAAAGAACATAATTGGTTTACGCGGCGCTTTGAAGTATTTGCACAAGTGGATTCTATCCCTAGTCAGATCTAGTAACCAGTTGATTCAAGGTTGTCATGGCTGTAATTTTAAAGTTTGGAACGGCGTCGGTAAACCGGCAACTTATTCCGAAAGGTATTTAATAGTATTTAGAACATATTATGTTACACATTAGACAATAGGAACATTTGCGTTATGTTGACTTTGTAATTTCAATTGACATCAGCAGAATGCATTGTAATGAGACGTAATATGTAGATATAAATAGAAATATTGTTTGTCTCAGGTTATGTCATAATATGTAGTATGTATGCAATATATTCACTATATTGTAATTTTATTTTTGTCACAGGTGTGACAAATATTCAACGAATTGCTACAATGTCTCAATTGTTAGACCAAGTGGCAGATGTGGATATCGACAGTCATGGAAGATTCAAATATATCTTGATCACTGTGAAAGATAAAACTAACGATGTTAGTAAACAGATCGTCAGAGGATATGCAAGAGCACAGTGGCACGGTGAGTCTGTTATATATTTATAATATATTTTGCTATGCATACCATACAGTATTGTATGTTACTTGAAAATGCTTAACGTTTGACACACTACGTACAATGTTGCACTTTAGCATATAAAATTGATTGTGTTTCAGTCATATGAAGTTTCTAATGTATTTAAGAATGAAAACAATATTGTGCACTTCTCAAATTCATATATATGACATAAACAATAAGATCAGAATCTTCACTTACGTTTGTAATATTTTCTATTTAGAATGATATGAGACTATATTATAAAACTCATTGTATAAACTCTTACATATTTATGCATTTATTATTTACAATGCTAAAGATACAATTTGTACATCTTTACATATTTTTATTGTAGTAAAGAAGCAATAGGGAAATATTTAGTATATATTGTATTAATATTGTTTTATTTAAAAATTATTACTGCGGTATATTTTTGTCGTTAGTTTGCATCTTGGTTGGTTATTTTTCATTGGTCAGTCAAAGATACTTATTTGCAAATGAAAAAATATAATTATGTAGAGTATTCCATCATCACTGGGTGAAATATCAAAGATAAATTCTTTATCGTTTTTGAATATAATTAAAAAATTGAAACTGTTTTTGTGCATAAAGCAATAAGGGTACACGTACAAAACTGAATTTCGAGATTTGCAATTATATTTGAAAACATAATCAACTTCACCTTAACAAAAATATTTCACTTAAAATTTAATTGTCAAAATGTTTATCGAAATATTGACTGATGTTACGACTTCTTATTAAAAATTTTGATTGAAATAAATAAATAAATTGGCTTTGTAATCGCTAAGGGATCTATCATTAAAATTTTATCCAGTAATAGGAAACAACTTATATATCGATTATTATAATAAAAAATAGGTATCTACCTCTTTGAAAAAATATATTTGATATTTTTAATTCGGTATATATTACTTTTTTTTTATATAGACGTTTGTAGGTAAATTTGTAGTTTATAGGTAAGAATAAGTGCGCGTCTCGCGTCATTCGTTACGTGCTCCCAAAATGAATGCAAACGCGGAATCTGGTTACTATGTAACCGAGTAAGGTAAATGACTAAAGTGGCAGTAGGAGATTTCTCATATATTAGATGGGGAGGGAGATATTTTATAAACGCAAAGAAAGCTCCAAGCGATTTACACTGACAAAGCTTCAGATAATCAGCGATAATTTTCGTATACAGACTATAAGAATATATTACATATATCACCATAGTATTATCCAGCGTGATAAATAATATACAGGAATATATACCTCTCGAAAGATTCTCTTTCTTATCGCGTATTAAAAGTTTTAAACAGAAGTTCAGCAATAAATCATTTTTCGGTTGAATTTGTTTTCTCCCATGCTGGATACGACTTCCACATGATACGTCAAACAGCTTGTAACTCACACACTTAATTACAACAATGACACTCATTTAAATGTTCCTCTTTTATCGAGAGCAGTTAAACCCCGTTGTGACCTGCGCGACGACATACGAAAGAGAAACGAACGTAACACATATAACGTTTCAACGCTCGATACTTCATAAAGTACAATCGCTCAATTATACAATCGCATATAGTCTTGTTTCTGAAAAAAAATTTCTCCGCGATACGCAAAGCTCAGCGGGATATTCATTCGTTTTCCGAGACCGCGTGATTAATTTCCGAGAATTTGCATTTCTTTCTTCTCTCAGAAACGTGCGTGACCTATATTTACAACGAAAAGCCATCTGGTGAGAATTGACAGGATACGCCGTTTGTTTTCCTATTTCTTACATATCCCGTGCGCTCTTCGCAATGTATCCGTATTTCCCTCTGAAAAAATAGAAGGAATTACGACGAAACGGTGGTAGCGAATGCTACTGAGGACTGTCACGGTCTGGTGCTTTGAAAAAGTGATTTCCACGCATTCGTTTACTAAGAGGCTCTTCTGAAGCAGCACCAGGCTCTCTGGATGCTGACGCTGAGTCTGCAAGCTTTGTGGTTTGAATTCTTAATGGTCTTCGTATCGCTGTTCTTTCTGACAGACGGTCGCGACGTCGCGTCGCCTCGTTGCGCCCGCTCTCAGGTGCTGTCGCTTTCCTCGCAATGCTCTATCAGGTCTACGTCGGTCACTCTCGATTCCTTCTCCTGCTCTTTGATGGCCTCTAGCTTATTCTCCTTCTTCCTGTGATTGTTGCCATCCGATTTGCTCGATTTGTCCGTAATCTCATTCGCGTCCTTGCCAAATTGCTTCGGTGGCTCTCGGACGGGTGATGGGAATCCCACGAGATCTGGATCTGTGTTACTATGCATCAATGTAAACGGCAGCTTCAAAGAAACCTTACCGCCCATTGCTGAGACCAGCAGTTTAATCTGGAATAAATTACGTGTTTTTATCTGGCAAAACGGAATTTTTTCTCAAGGTGAAATCAAGATTAGTTTTTTCCTCTAAAAAATGGTATGACTCGGAAAAAAAATATTAAAGATACACAAATTGCATCCTATTTAAAGGATCTAATAACAAGCTATTTTAGAAACTCTTTCTTGTGTACTAGAAGAGAGTATTTTCTTTATGTCACACTCATGCTTTTCTGGCAATAATTGATGCATCCAAGCCGTTTTCGTCACGTTTTCCTTGTAAGATTACCTTCACATAATAAGAAACGTAAATGGCAAAGACGTTCCTATCCTCGGGTCCATTTCCGGGGCAGATAACCGTTGATGCCAAGGTTGCGCCAGTTTTTGTGTAACTGTCCTCCAAGGCAATCCAATTCTTGGTCGAACCCTTAATAGGCCTGAGAGAGTAGCTCTTTATTAAAGTGCCACCCGGTCCCACAGGACATCCCTCTTGCGAGGACACGAGAGCCACAACATTTTTGAACTTGCCGTTGCTGAACATACAAACATCCACGTGCTGTACGATAAATACCTAAAAAAGAAAATATTTCTGTAATAAAATATTTCTGTAATAAGCACACAGAGCAAGCTCGCGATGTTTTATAAGATATAATGTTTTAGAATCTAGGCTTCTCAAAGGAAAAAAAAGAATAATGTCTCGAAAATTACGGCATCTTGTTCGTTAGAGAGTCCTTTCTATTCCGGCAATATTTTTCCAGCAGTCTTTGCCGAATGAATCGATGTATATGTACATATATGTGCATATACCTAGATTACTATTCGTTAAAGCCGATTGTTATGCGACTGAAGCTGCTGTCGCTGATTATTGGCCGCTGCGAACTTAAATTTGATTACGAAAGATAACTCGTGCAACTTATAGGCGGGGGCGTCGGTTTGTTTGCTGAACTGTCGCAACAAAGTTAACATACAGGGTGTTACGAGCGCGCCTGTCCTTTCTGGCCGGTGGGCAGGATATCGGCAGGATGCTATGTCCCTATTTTCGAACAATGTTCTCTGCCGTTGTTAATGAAGCGCAGCTCAAAAGCCCTCGATACGAACGCAATTTCCCGTTACGATATAACCACGGGGACGTTCATTCGTATTTAAGTTGCGATTTAAGTTGCATAGGAACGAAATGCCAGACTAATCGGCGCGGATTATCGCGGGCCGATCTAATTCAGCGTAAGCGAACCGCGCGCACTTTGTCTTCGTTCTTTGTGCGTGCACGAAACAAATTGAATTATAACTTCACAACAGCATGTCGGCATTGCGTTTCTCCTCGTGGCTTCGAGATAGCTTTGAGCGGGGAAATAGCTCCTGTCGATTCCTGTCCGTCGTCGGGGAAAATCGCCGATATCGCTCGCACGTTATTGTTCCTTCTCCGCGAGGAGCCGAGATACGCTCGGGGACTGGTTTGGAATATCGTTATTTTTTATCAGTCTCGGAGCAGAATAGATTACCCGCCAGACGTTTCGATCGTTGCGAGCGTCTAGCCTGTTCTTTCCTTGGCGACTTTTTATCTTAAATTATATTCATATGCGTTTAACGCTAGTTTGATATAAAATATGAATATTCATATTTTGAAAGGTTCAAACGATATAAAAGGAAAACGCGTTTTTGCCTTTCTTATAGATTTGCACATTTCATAGAGGAAGAGGTGCACAAGTATTTACGCATATAAGATTATCGCTTGCCTGAAATAACAGAGTTCCAAAAATTCTTTCGAAAAAGCGAGCTTATGTCTGTGTTCTTAATTCTCCTTACTTTCGCCATCTGGATATATTATGAGACAAACGCTTATTAGCTCACTCACGCATGCATAGAATATCTCACTAGGTACGTGAAAGGCCGCTATGAATTCTTGAGTGAGTCGACGACACACAGGCACGCTGTAATAGGTAGTCTTGAAGCGGTTCTCAGACTTCATCTCGATTGTAGCACAGGTGCGATGGATTCCGCGAAGTTATACTTGATACCTGTATCCTTTGCATACGCGAGATTATCATATCCAAACATGGGATTGCAGCTGTATCATGTCGGTAAACGCATAATTTACGAATTACTCGCGGGAACCGATCCGCAGCCGTGCGCAGAATCGTATTTTCAAAATATTCGCATTGAAATTCACAGGGAGAAGCTCGTAAGGAAATTGCGAAGTTGTATCTTCAGCGGTGAATATATCTTATGCTGATTTGCGTTACGATATCTTCAAATTGTTATTCGCGATTGTAGATCTATTGATCGAATCTTCCTACTATCTGAAGATTTCTCGCAAGAATGATATTTTCTGTCAAATAGCGCTCGTGTACTGCACGAGAGAACTACAAAATAAATTCGGATTTATGATATTTATTCAGAAAGACGATTTTACACCATCTAGTTTGGTTTATTTATGAAGTTACGAATATGTAAAATGATGTAAAAAAAATTATGATAATTCGTAATTGATTCGTAAATGATGTAAAAAAAATTATGATAATTCGTTTATATTTCTGACTTGGTTCATGACTTGGTTGGTACTTGGTTTCGATTTTCGTATTTTGGCAAGTTCACACAACAATTGTTATCTATCGCGATACTTACGCGTTATTAATTATTTCTCTTCGCTAATCCGATTGATCGGTGTAAGCTATTATAGATACGCTTTTACATTCGGATACGTTCTCGAAAGTAGCTCTCCTTGAACTTGTCCCCTAAAATTGCTGGTTTCAGTTGATCAATATTTGGCGGGCTAACGATTGCCACGAATGTAGTCTGGCATTCTTGTTGACGGATTTTCCTCTTAAACTTCGATTCATGGGGTGAGCTACTTATCGACATGTCTAAACGATAGAATCCTTTCAACAATTCCATCACGTATCATTACGTTAATGTTCTGGATATATGTGTTGTGCCTCTTCTAATATATAATTTCACCCTTATGAAGCTAGAGATTTGTTTTCGATTAAAAACTTGATGAATGTGAGAATCTCGAGATCGACCAAGACATCATGCTTGTGAGAACCAAGTCTATTTTCTCTGATCAATGACGTTCTCTCACATTTCCCGCGTCGCTGCGAGGCACAAGTGCGCTGTATTTATCGCGCGACATTTAACTCTTGACGTTTAACTCTCTGGAGGCGATTATTCCCTCTATTCTAACAGCCGTAGGTAGGTGAAGGAAAAACGGAAAGTAAAGAACGAGAGAAGGGGACAAAATATATACGTTAATAGAATTACCCAGTTTCATATATCTCATTTAGTGCATTTAAACGAATTTGCCTGATATATTATCACTCATCGTGAAAATAAATATTTATTTGATATAGTATTAATGTTATATTCGCAGAACGAGTCGTGTTATTCTTCAAAATATCGCCGTTAAATCGTAATATATAACCATTAGGTATATTTATATTATGTCGATAAAAAAAGATTCGCTTATTTAGCTCTTCGAAAAAAATGTAAGTTTTTCCAAATTTCACGTATATTTTATTATTCGTGGAGCGACGTTAAATTAAATTATTACGATCTGACATATTACTTGTTGAAGATCGGTGGAATCATTTTAATTTACCCACGCGAAAAGCGTTGACGCGAAACTTGGCTATTCATCAAGTTTGTGCACACGCCATGCGAGCGACGGTGTTCTTATTAAGACGCTAAAGCAGTCTCATTGAAATCAACTATGCCCACGGGATATGAGCGTTCTAACGAACTTATTAAATTTACGGAAGTCCAATGAGAGACGATAGCCAACTCGAAGTTGAGAGCAGCAGCATTATTTCTTGAATAATTAATGGATTTGAGTATAGGAAGCCTATTTAAAATTACGTTTACTAATTAACGCCGTAGTTTAACACGGAAAATTCGGAAAAACGTAATGCACACGGTGTGAATTTACTGTTCTGAAGAAGAAATATGGATCATAGAAACGAGAGCACGGATGATAAAGCTACGAAGCTAAAGCTCTCTGAGAAAACTGACATTCCGAAATTCGAGAAATAATTCGCCACTGCCCTTTGTCTCTTCTAAAGTCGTCGAAATTTAATGCGAAACATCTTTTAACGACATACGCGCGTGAATCAACAATTGAAAAATGCTCGACTTGAGATTTCTCGGTGGGCCGATTTCGACAACTTGCCCGGGACTTTAGGGTCCTGGAGTAAATTTTGGCTGGGGCGGCGCGTCGAGACAATTTCATAACTCGTTCGAGCTTTTACACGCACGATACACCGTCAGACGCAACCCCGTAAAAAAACCGCATTGATTGAATCAAGAACCGCATCGATTGACCTCCCTTTCGTCCCTCATGATGGACCGTTTGGTTTGTTCTTCTCCCTCTCTGCCGCTTTCGTCGTGAAGAAGCGCCGTCAATTTTACGAGCAGCTCTTTTTGCACCTCAGCACCAGATGTTACGTGAGGATAAGAGGGGAGAAGGAAGGAAAAAGTGGATAGATGGAATGAAACGGAATGAATCGCGTGCCTTCTATAGAGAGGGAGAGAAAGAAAGAAAGAAAGAAAGAAAGAAAGAAAGAAACAGAGAGAGAGAGAGAGAGAGAGACTCCGAATCATGAATACCCAAAGCATTTGGATCCCTGAGGAATGTCGAAAAAAGATCCCATTCGTGGGATCCACGACCCGAGAGACGCTCTTTGAAATATTGAGTGCCACGAGCTGGTCGACGAATTACGAACGGTTCGTTTCACGAGCGAGAGCACAATTTCGTACCCATTTCGAGCGCAGTTGCGATTGATCGCTTTTGGAAAAAAAAAACAACCAGATTAATTGTTTGGTTGTGTCGGAAAGCTACGGGGTCGTTAGATTGTTGCGCGTGAGATAGCGTGCTTTCTGCAATGTGGGAAGACAAGTGCTTCCTAGTTAACTTCCGACTTAACGAAGGATCGAGATGCACGACGTTGCATTAATTTACGATTATTGAAGAAGAAATGAATTTTCGATGAAAACGTGATTTATATGAACCAATTCTCCGGCGCATCCGACGACGAATCGTTTCTCTCCTTCTTTTCTTTTTTTTTTCTCCCGTACATATCAATATTCAGTTTTGATTGGAAAAATAGTTTTTTTTTATTTATTCGTGTAGTCGCGAGTGATTAAAATGTAGAGCGAAATAGTACATGCAGAAAAATCCATTGTTCGGCTCCCTTTCAGCGCGTCAACGACGCTTTTGCATGCGCAATCACGTATACTATTTAATCCCAAAACTTATACATCACGATACGATTTATCAATATTAATGCCGAGTGTAATTCTATAAAAATACGATAGCGATCTCGTTGAATGAATGAGACGTAGGTTTCTTCGTTGATGCTTGTGTCTCATCAATAATTTAAACTAAAGTTAGGACGAGCATTTTTACGTATCAGTTGCATTTAATTTTCATTATTTATGTCTGATTAAGTATTCGAAGCCGTGAAGCCGAATAAAAACAGGTACGGATACGTAGAACGTGAATTGTATACCTTTATCCTTCTTACGGACTTGCTGCTGTTGTTGCTGACGTAGACGTGGACAGTGATTGAATCTCCGTGAGCGTAGATCGCACGATCTAGCTTCGCTTCTAATCCGACACGACCGTCACTTAGTAAAAATGGCTTTTCCACCGCTGCGTGTGGTCCCATGTTTTCTGCGAAAATTGAAGCGACATGCTGCGTCTCATCTATTTCGATTTGTATTCTGCCTTCGGAATAAATGCGACGAGTTAAATCTGTTAACGGAATTTAAACAGGGATGTTTCAGCGGCTTCGCATCAAACTCGAGAAGCATATTGTTTGAAAACTTTGGAATTTTTCAAATATCACAAATTCCGTTCTATGAAGATTTCGATCTCTGCATAACATTACAGAGATTCATTGTATCGAAAATTGAAGAGTCACAAATGAGTAAGAAATTAGAAAATGAAATCTTATATTGAAAATTGCATTATGCTGCGAAAAGAAAAATAAGCAAGTTTTGGCTAAAAAAGCTATCGGTTTTAATTTTTCAAATTTCGCTTCTTTAATTTGTTGTAATGTTTTGAAAGCATCCAGAAGATTATCCGATTATTATTAATATTACAAGTAGTTATAGTGTAATAATTGAATTTTGAATGTGATCTAAAATTGAATATATTTAAATAATCGAGCACATCACGCTTATCAGGACCAACCGTCATCCTCGATGATCTCATTTTCGGTGGACTCCATTCTCGTTTTGCATACTTGAATTCTCGAGGGAATCGATAACACTTGAAAGGGAGGCACGCTGTACATAGTCGTGGAGGGTAAAGGCGGTTTCGTGGTTCGCTGGATTACTCGAATACCCATTCTGATGGTAGTTTTACGGTGAAATTTTTCGTCCGCCCGCTCCGCTAAAATCCACCACACAAAACATTAATGATTCTAAAATAATGATTGCAATAAAGACAAAAGTTGGTACTAAACGTGAGTTAAATTACCGAGTTCACCGTCTCATGGATAATTGAGCGAGTTTTTTTGAAAAAGATAAGTACTTTCGTACTTATCTTTTTCAAAATTTATGTTGCACGAGCTTTCCGAACTTGAGAGTTACTTTCTCATTCCCGGGGGAAACGCGACTAGCTGTAGTGAGTCTGACATTGGTAATAATACGTTTCTTTGTCTATGTGGAAGGAAGAATTGAACAGACGTATAATGCTAAATCTGACCAAATGTTAAAGTTTATGATAAAATAAGACCTATTTAAGCTGGCTCTGCTCGAAACAATAAGAAAGCAATAAAAGCTCTTTCTCATGTCTCATGACGAATTTATGGAAATACTTTTATCCTTTCTCAGCCCGAGCCTTACGATTTTAAGATAAGTAAAAAAATGCTAAGAAGATATAAGATTATATTTAACTAAACAAATTTAATAGTCACTTAACTAGCCTTTGATCCTCTTACGAGGATATTTTTGACATCGTTTAAAAATTAGGAGAATATTTTCCTCACAATTCCTCCTTCCTATTTTGTTGGCGTGTCACACTCTAATTGCGCCTTGTTTTCGTGTTATCATGCTTTATTGTTTTTCGCTTGGTCGCTCAAAGTGCGTTTATTAGATTCGGGGAGTGGAGGGTGAAAAAATGAAATCAATAGGTCTTTCCACTCACCGACGTAAGCTTTGACGTCGTAGCTGGTACCTATAGGTGCACCGCTGTATTCCTTGGCTGGTACCAGTTGCACGGATGGTGGGGCCAGTGGGGTGATTTCCATGGTGAATGCGTGGGCGTTTGGCCCTAGCCTCTTGATAAGTGCCTCCTGCAAAAAGAGATCTCAGTTTTTCCTCGCCCTTACTTTCGAAGTCAATTGTCCGATATTGCACGTGAAGCTGCTTCGCGGTATAATAATTTTTATGGCTTTCGTGAAGATGGAGCCGACAGTTCGCAAGTCGATTATTAGTTAGTATCACGAGGACCTTCTTGTTGAGCGCTTATTTGTTCAGCGATCTATAAAAAGAATATCGGCGAACTTTTATTCGGAGTTTGCAGTTGGCATTTTTCAGAAGTGGTCTTGATGGTCAAGAAGCGATCTTGATTGTATTTTATATTAATTACTCATACGAAGAATAATTACGGTTTTGTTACGCGCGAGACGCAGTGCATTTATTTGCATTGAATATAGTTGACAAACGACATTGGTAATTGGAAATTTCTTGTTTTTACACCCTGTGTGTGCGCTTCCACAATTATTTCATGCGTACTACGAGGTAAATAATGCAGCGTTCTGGTAGCGTGAGGTAAATAATGCAATAGAAATGTAAATCTTCCATACAATCCAATCGTGAAAAGTCTTTAGCGAAGCGTATGTTTGAAGTGCAGGCGCACGAAAAAAATAAATATTGGTACTTTGCCACGGGTGTTTGTCGATATAAATTTTATTAAATTTGCACGTGTGCGACTTTCACGAATGCCCTGACGTTTTCATCGATTTTTGATGAGCGTCCGCGAAAGCTGATTTTACATCTGCATGTGAATGCGCGAATAAATATCGATAATTTTCCTACGATTTATTCCATGAAAATATTAAGGACTTGCGAATGTTTCTCGGATCCTTTATACTTTTATTGACTTGAAATTGTCGTTTTACAGACGCGGCATCGAATAATTTTCTAAAAGATGACAGAACGTGGCGAGTAATTGTGGCAGATACTTTGAACGTGACATGTATTGTTTCGCCATCATTGATAAAAGAAATATGATTAAAAAGTCGACGAATTTTTGCAAGCTCCTGATATTACGCGCAAACAGCGGATATTATCGTTATATTATATGATATATAATATTGAGTGCTCAAAGAGACTAACCAGATGTCGAATAGAAATGTGAATAATTCATCGAAGGTTTAACCTAGCGAATCCGTCGATGTGAATGTATATCGACGGAGGCGCGACGGAAAATCAATTTGTACCTCACTGACTTTCGAGAGTGCCGATTGATTTTAGAGCCGCGCTGAAAGAAAAATACTCCGTCCGTGACGGTTACGTGTCGTGAATTTTTCAGAATTCAAATAACGAAGAAACGGATTCTCGACGCTTCCGAGTGCTGTGCGATGATAGCTTTCCCAGCGTCGTTTCAAACGAAGACTCTTACTTCGAGTCTCCAAACGAAGGCTGTTTGCTCTTCCGATCCCTAAGGGACAATCGTTAGGCAGGGTCGAGTAGTTACATAGTAGCAAGTTCGCAAGTGGTAGCGATCATCACGAGGGTAATCTCTTATAATAGAGCACGCAACACAAAAGGATAGTCCTTGGCTTTTCCGCACGTGTCGCCATACGTTCGCAAGACAAACAGCTCTACGAAGAAAACATTCGCTTCGTTATCACCTGATCTCTCGAGGTTCAAAGAGTTGATAATTTTAGGGTGACGAAGATATTCAAACAACCGTGCATTCGCGGTGTATGATGATCTCCGTTTGTCCTGTCGAGGGAGTGGTAATATTTAAAAATCGTCGGAGAACGACCTCATCAACCGGTTGCCGTGTTAATGGCGAGTCGCTCTTGTGCATTCTCACTCTCACGTTTCACGAGAGTTTCGCGACACGCGAAAATACGTGTCGGACACGTACACTCGTTCTCCCTCTCTCTTTCTCTCTTCCTCCCTTTCTCCCTGACTCTCTTCCCTCTCCCCACGTCCTTCGGCGCGCTACGTGTTGTCTCTGCGGAGCACCTGTGCGCCCACGGATAATTCCGAGCTGTCGGCAAAAATAGAAGGTGCATACCGGCGTTATCCTTTATCGGCTCAAGGATTCAAGATAGCGGGTCGACTCGGCATATGCGCATACGCGCGTGAAAATGAAACTGTCTCCGCAGGGGGATGATGCGGGCCAGGGTCGGCTGCTGTTAGCGAGGTCGAATCGCGTTACGTCATTCCGCTCGATTTTGCATTGAATAGAGTTTAGAGTTCTTTCGGTTTCCCTTCCACGACGAAGCTGTCGCTTCAAGACGTGTTCGTCCGCGAGATCTGTGATATCGCGTGGGAAATACGATGTAAAAACACGGTTGCACGGACGTCTAGAGTCCTTGACTGAAGGAGGAGGTAGGAATAAGAGATGAGGATTTGCGGATTCTGAAGAGAGGGCCGAGGTGTGACCCCGATTTCCTTCGGGAAAATATTAAGATCTGAAAGATTCGCGTTGACATCGTTAACGCGAAATATTCCCGCTGCACGGACGTTTCATCGCATTGTAATTGATTTGCATCTTATCGGGTTATGATCGTGTTTTATAATCTTCGCGAAAGAGGAGAGAGATCGTTTTAAATGATTATGTCGTTGACTATTATTCGGACAATCTATCGCTTTTCCATTCGTTCGGCTGTAAATCCGGCGTCAAATAAAATTCACCATTTAAGGATACTTCAGACTTTTATCCGGCTTTAGAGCTAGAAGTATGTCAACAATTCTATAAAATCCCTCGTAAACGGAGATTACTTTCTTACGTCGTTTGACAGTCCAATGTATGTATTTGGGTCAGATTTCGCGGTTAGCATTGTGTTGTGTTCCATCCTTCAGGACTTCGTATTCAATGAAATGATTCTACCCATTTTATATACTTGTCGGAAAGCGTCATATTGTCATGGAAAGCATATCTATCTTCAATAGCGGCTTACAGTTCCGAATACAACAATATGTAATGGCATAAATCTTTCTGCACGTTGTGCAATAGCCTCGTGGTGTGAATTTTAAAATTATCCTCCTAGAAGGAGTAGTAAAAGATAAATTCAACATTGCGAACAACGAACTACTTCAAAGTGTTCAAATTATCAATTGTTTTAAAACACGCTATTAATGTGTTTTACATTATTATTCAGTAATCAGCGCTTTCTCTGGCACAAGAAAATATTAATACTATTAGTCCTAATGAGTATCAGAGCTGTCGGATTACGCCGCATTAACATAATTATGTCTGGCTTCATCGGGGGAGAATGAAGCTTTAATGGTGTCTTGATGTTATTCTGTGATCGTAATTTTGAGAACCCAGAACATGTTTATAAATAGAACGAACGTTTACGACGAAAAAGATACGAAAAAATGTGCGAATTAATTTTATACCTCTTCCACCATTCTTGAAATAATCGTTCTTTATAAGTAATCATCGTTATTTCGTCGCGATGTTTCAGGAAAGTACATCAATTTTTATTATTGTCGTATCCGATTGGACCGTGATACCTTTTCCTGTTGCTTTTGACGGATCAACCAAGAGAAAAAGCTATTCGAGATAACAAAATAAAAATCTTTGACGTCTACTATATGGTGACCGTGTTTTTCGGGAATATTTTTTTTCGCGCGTGGCAGAATGCGGCTAACTGCAATTTATTCCTTTGGCCCGCTAACTGTCCGCGTGCAGACGTGAATGCTGAGCGATGTGCACGCGAAATTCGTGGTTCTTTGACGTTCAAACTGAAACGCGAAATATTTTTTTATTAAAATTGCCTAACGAACGAGATGCATTTTCTGTGCGTCTCTCGGCAACTATTTTATGCGTCTTCATGCGCGTGTAGACTGGGCACTTCGATCATTCTAACGCGGTTAATCTTCAGGATCTCATCGCGCTAATTCTCTCCCGATGTGTCCATGACCTACGTTTGCCGTTAGGCATTTGAACACTTAAGCACGGACGTGCTTATAAATTCCCGATATTTCTGGAGTGGTCTTTCATTCGTCCAATGTATCTCCAAGCATTTTCCATGTACATCGTGTTTATCTTCGAATCGATGGCGGGACGTCATTTTACGTAATTTACGCTTAATGGACGTCGCATTGAAATGTATATCTCGAAGTCGCTGTCAAATGTCCGCGAAAGAAAGGCGAGGCGCAATAAATAATTTCCGTTCCGCCACAACTTGCGAGACCTTCTGTCGTTAGGTCGGGGTCACGGTCGCGTTTTCACGAGGACGGTTTTGTCACACACACACATATACACACATATGTATATATATATATATATTCGAGGCTCTGTTGAGAACTTCAAATTTTCCTCGGTCGGCAAACCGGCTTCTGGCTGTTCTCTTTCGAGCGCTCTCCTTCAACGAAAATTCAGTCGTAATATTGTTGCGGTATTATCGATCGGCAGTTGCTTCCGATATTATATAATCTTACCGGTGGTTGTTGTTTGTCTGCCTATGTCTTGTTTCCTTATTATTTGAAAAAGGTAATATATTATTATTGTATATGTAATAATTATTACGCGAGAGATTTTATAATATTGCGTATCTCAATATGTTGTATAGTAAAATCAGTAGATCTCGTCCAATTGCATATGAATGGTAATGTGATATCGCAGATAATTATAATTGTATCGACGTAATAATTGAATGTAAGGCTAAATTTAATCATATTCACGGATCAATTGGCAGCGAACATTATATACGTATATTATTATGGGAAGATTTTACATTTGCGTGTGTTTTGTTTAAATGACGTGAAGTATTTTTCTCCTTGGAATGCGCATATTATCGTATGATCGTACGGTTGTGTTGCGTGCTTGGAGAGAATTTCGCATAACATTGTATTTTTCTCAGACTTCTAGATATACAGGATGTCCGAAACGTTCCAGCCAATTGTTCGTGTGAAAGATGAAGGTTAAAGCCTTAAACTGAGCAGAAAAGTCTTCTACTTAACGACAGGCATCAATATATTGAACTTTGAACCTTGAACCTGTTGCTAGATACAACAGCTGTTATATTCTTATATATTAGGCCATTCTGAACAAAAATATCCTTTACTATTTTGCAAATAACACGCAATTTTTTGAGTTATTAAT